ATGTTGATATTGAGAATATATGAAAGAGTACTTGCAGCGTCTGTTTACATGTATGCTGTACTGTAGTAACAAAAAAGTAACTTTGTTACTTTTTATAGTAACAAGTAACAGTAACAGATTACTTTTCTATAAATATAACAAGTAACAAATTACTTTTTCCCAAAGTAACAAGTAAAAATAACAAATTACTTTCAATGAGTAACAAGCACAATACTGTATATATATATATATATATATATATATATATATATATATATATATATATATATATATGATGATTTACAGATTGTGAAGCAACTATGCAATTCCTGGAAAAAATGGATACATTGTTAGACATGATGAATAGTAAGAACATTCAGACGTGGTATAGCAATGACATCATTTAATGACATAGCATCAAACTTAATGTCACTGAAAAAGTATTTGTTATCACTAAAACCTGTCGATGGAAAATTTTTATATCAACCAAAAAAAATATATATCTTACAGTGTTTGGTGAAAATGTTCTTACTAATTGTTATATCTTTAAAACCCAAGGAATACATGTGTTCTTGGGATAGCTGTCAACATAGAAACCATAACAATGACATCATTTAATGACATAGAATCAAACTTAATGTCACTGAAAAAGTATTTGTTATCACTAAAACCTGTCGATGGAAAATTAAATATGTTCTGACATACAAATTCAGCCAAGACCATCTTGAGTTATTTTTTAATTTCATTCGAAGTGTAGGTTAGAAAATGTTCAAAAGTGGTTATTTAACAAAAATGACTTCAATTTTATATATTTATTTATGTATTTAGGGAGAAGCAATGATAATCCAAATGTCTGGCAACTGGAATCTATATTCAAAAAAGTGTACTGTAGATATGATATTGTCCCTGGAAAAACAGGTTATTCAAATATGTTCTATTTATACAGTTGCTTTAAATGAGGCTATACATATGATGTTTTATAATTTATAAGGGAATGTACCGGAACAAATGATAGTTGAATCAGAATTTAAAATTCCAGAGGATCAGTTTCAAGATATTTATGAAAGGACATATTTTAGATCCACAAAGCATTGTTGAAATATGTTGAAATAATATATATGTATATTATATATGTTTCAATATATTTATGACTTTCCATAGTTTCAGACAATCTTATATTAATTGCTAACTTGACTAACTTGCACGTGTATGCTTTTCGCTTTTTGTCGACTAACGTGTCTTCTAATATTTCAATTAACGCTTCTTTAATAAACAATTATATTAAAAACAAACAAAGAAGTTTTTTATCTTAAACAGGTTATGAGCCCAGAACGCTTAATAAATTGCTTAGAGAAAAAGTTATTTCGAAAAAAAGAAAGAGATTGCAATTTGTGACTAAAAGAACTTTTCCAACTATCGTTGAAGCAAGAACATCAATTTTTTTTTCCTTCAAAATGGACTCAAAGCTTCAAATAAAACAGTTAAGTTGCGCAGCCAATTGGCCCATTTGGAAACGTCGTGTTCGAAATTTCATGGACTACCATGAGGGCGCACTTGATGTGATTGATGGGAAGTTGTCGAAATCAGAATTACTAGAAAATCAAACAGAGCAACAGACAAAAGATTTTAAAAATAAATCAGGTCTGTTTAGAAAGGCAAACAG